AAGACAAGATTATATTGGAATTGTTCATGCATAGATAATTTTATGTTGAATTTACGTATTTAAATATGTAATTCTAAGTTTACAAATGCAAGATAATATAGTCAAGATTGATTATAATTGTCAATAAAATAATTGTATAGGTATGGTTGAAACCAAATACGGGACATAAGGGAGAACAAATAAAAATTAGGGCATAAAATATTAAATATATAATAATATTGAAGAGCTAAATGCTGATTGCCAAACAAGGACATTGCGAGGTAGTTTCCTATCTCAATTTGTTGTGTGATTTGAATATCTTTTTATCAATAAATCTCTCAAGTAGTTAATATGATTGGCTTAATTATATATTTTTTTTATTTTTTAAAAACAATTATTATTATTATTATTATTATTATTATTATTATTATAATAATAATAATAATAATAATAATAATAATAATAATTATTATTATTATTATTATTATTATTATTATTGTTGTTGTTGTTGTTGTTGTTGTTGTTGTTGTTGTTGTTATTATTATTATTATTATTATTATTATTATTATTATTATTACTATTATTATTATCCGTATACCTTTAGGTCATTTTACATGTTAATCTAAACAGCTAATTTTTTCAAATATCTTTTTATCAACCGTTGATATAATTCGCTGGTCAAATCCGTTAACGTTAACCGCTAACTGCTGATTGTCAAACAAGGACATTGCGATATAGTTCTCACTTCAATTCGTTGTGTGATTTGAATACTCTCTTTGTCAACAAAACCCCTCAAGTAGTTAATATGATTGGATTTATTAATTATATTTTTTAAAATTTTTTCATGGTATTAATAAAATACTTGGTAAATAAATATATAACATTATTTTGTATTATAACTTTGATATTTAATTAAAAAATAGTGCACAAAAAATATAATAGTCAATATAGTGAATATAATCAATTGATGAATTTGAATGTAAAGAATTTTTATATTGGAGAAAAATAAAGACAATATAACTAATGAAATTATTTCTCTTATTTAATTTATTGATAATGAATAATTTTTTTTGAATAAAGAAATTGTAGACACATAATTCTAAATTAAAGAAATACATATTTTTTATTTTTTTGTTGTAGCTACTAAATTATTATTTAATTTAATAAGAGTAAAATAGAGTACTAAATATGCCAACTTTGATTGGGATGTGGTTCGAACTTAAGACCTTTTTATTGAAATCAATAAGTTAACGGTGAACTAACAGAAATTAACGAAAAAGATAATATTTAATGGAAAAGTTAACGGATAATCATATTCATTAAGGATAAATTAGTAAATCTTAAGGAAAAATTAAAATCTGATCAATCTGAGCCATTCATTTGATTAAAAAACTTGACCGCAATTTTTTTACCCATTATAGGCCTAACTCTCTTGGGCTCTTATTAGTATAGTAGGCTCAAAATTTGTAATCAAATGAATGGCTCAGATTGATCAGATTTTAATTTTTTCTTAAGATTTCCTAATTTATCCTTAATGAATATGATTATCCGTTAACTTTTCCGTTAAATATTATCTTTTCCGTTAATTTCGGTTAGTTCACCGTTAACTTACTCATTGATTTCAATAAGAAAGGTCTTAGGTTCGAACCCCATCCCAATCAAAATTGGCATAATTAATACTCTATTTTACTCTTATTAAATTAAATTAAATAATAATTTAGTAGCTACAACAAAAAATAATACATATGCATTTCTTTAATTTAGAATTATGTGTCTACAATGTCTGTTTTCAAAAAAAAATATTCATTATCAATAAATTAAATAAGAAAAATAATTTCATTAGTTATATTGTATTTATTTATTTTTCTCCAATATAAAAATTCTTTACATTCAAATCCATCAATTGATTATATTCGCTACATTGTCTCTACAATGTCTTTGTTTAAAAAAAAAATATTCATTATCAATAAATTAATTAAGAGAAATAATTTTATTAGTTATATTGTTTTTATATTTCTCCAATATAAAAATTCTTTATATTCAAATTCATCAATTGATTATATTCACTACATTGTCTAATATCTTTTTTTGTGCACTATTTTTTAATTAAATATCAAAGTTATAATACAAAATAATGCTATATATTTATTTACCAAGTATTTTATTAATACCATGAAAAAATTTAAAAAAAATATAATTAATAAAGCCAATCATATTAACTACTTGAGGGATTTGTTGACAAAGAGAGTATTCAAATCACACAACAAATTGACGTGAGAACTACCTCACAATGTCCTTGTTTGACAATCAGCAGTTAGCGGTTAGCATTAGCGGATTATATTAGTGAATTTGACCAGCGAATTATATCAACAGTTGGCAAAAAGATATTTGAAAAAAGCGAATTTGACCAGCGAATTATATCAACGGTTGGTAAAAAGATATTTGAAAAAATTAGCTGTTTAGATTAACATGTAAAATGACCTAAGGGTATAATAATAATAATAATAATAATAATAATAATAATAATAATAATAATAATAATAATAATAATAATAATAATAATAATAATTATTATTATTATTATTATTATTATTATTATTATTATTATTATTATTATTATTATTATTATTATTATTATTATTATTATTATTAAAATATATATATAATTAAGCCAATCATATTAACTACTTCGTGATTTATTGACGAAAAGAGTAATCAAATCACACAACAAATTGAAGTGGAAACTAACTCGCAATGTCCTTGTTTGACAATCAGCAGTTAGCTCTTCAATATTAGTATATATTTAATATTTTATGGGCCAATTTTTATTTGCTCTCCCTTATGTCCCGTATTTGGTTTCAACAATACCTATACAATTATTTTATTGACAATTATAATCAATCTTGACTATATTATCTTACATTTGTAAACTTAGAATTGCCTATTTAAATATGCAAATTTAACATTTAATTATCTATGTATGAATAATTCCAATAAAATCTTGTCTTGATATATTTTAAAGTACTTATTTAAAAAAAAACATTGGGCATTATCTATATATATATATATATATATATATATATATATATATATATATATATATATATATATATATATATATATATATATATATATATATATATATATATATAAAAGATCATATGAGAACACTTGCTTAGGTGAGAATGTGAGAACAAATCGTGTGCATCCATCTAATATTTTTTAATGGTCTAGATTAGATTAAGTGTGTGCGAACGCGCATTAATGTGTGCAAACGCGATTAAGTGTGTTTGCACACATTTAATGCGCGTTCGCACACACTTAATCTAATCTATACCATTAAAAAAATATTAGATGGATGCACATGATGTGTTCTCATGTTCTCACTTAAGCACATGTTCTCATTGGAACCCTACCGTGTATATATATATATATATATATATATATATATATATATATATATATATATATATATATATATATATATATATATATATATATATATATATATATTTATTTATTTATTTATTTATTTATCCTATCCTATATCCTATCCTATATATATAATAAAGTTAATATATATATATTTATTTATTTATTTATCCTATCCTATATCCTATCCTATATATATAATAAAGTTATATGGTCTTGTGAAAATTAAATGGGCTTTAAGATGTGAAAATTACTTTAAGATGTGAAAATTAAATGCAACATTTAATTTTCACATCTTAAAGCCATATGGCTTTAAGAAGCATGCATGCAACCCCAAAGTCCATAAGTTTGAAATTAATATATAGCATAGCTATGTGGCTTAATATTTAAGATTGTTGATATGCATATTGAGGACTACGGAGACAAAGATGCGTTATTCGTGAATTTATCGGATACTATCCAACAACACTCTCCAACTTAATTGACGTGAAGTAGGCTTAGTAACATTAAGATTATATTCTCGAATTAGTAGTTCTCATCTTTTATTGATTACACACTTAATTCGATAGTATTTGGAAGAAAAGAATCAATGTTCTAACTAAGATTGTGATTTTGGTCTTTAAAGGTCAATTGTATGTTGCTACATCTAGAGTTAGAAATCTCAAAGGTCTAAAAATTTTGATCCGTGGTGACTCTAAAATTGTAATTCAATTACTATTGTAGTTTACTAAGTTCTTAAAAATTTATAATATTAAATACTATGTACTAAATTTTTAATATAGTTTAAGATTTGTAGTAATCACCCACCTTAAATATTATTTTAATTGTAAATATATTTATGTTCATAATTTTATCATAGGAATTCACACATAATAATTATTAAATAACAAAAATTTTATATATGAATAAACCTCATATAGTGTATATTTTTATAATATATTTTCTGTGCATCGCACGGGACAAATACTAGTATATAATATAAAGCAGTAACTTATATATAAAAACGAAACGTATATGTAAATAACTGCATGTTTAGATAGTTTTATTGGTTGTTCTTTAAAATTTAATATTATATATCATGGGCTTTGGATCCGCCCCTGACTACATGTTAGATAGATCAAATATTTATGTCATACAAGAACTAAAGGGGACAATGTCAATTTTATAAATATTTGAAATTTGTAATATTTATGAAAGTGGCTCTATTTTATTTTTTTTTCAATTTTCAATCGTTAGATTTACTAGATTGACAACTAAAACTATTTCATAATTCTCATAAAACCACGGACATATATGTGTATGTGAAAGAGAAAGAGAATGCATATATGCATGCGTTTAAGTGTGTGTGTTGATTGATCTTAAAGTTGATTGATCTAACATATATTTTTTTAGATCTAACATATATTAAAGAGCACCCGTAGCGTTGATTGATCTAACATATTTTTTTGCAATAATACTTTGTAAAGAACAGAAATTCTTGATTTGTTGTAAATCCAGGAAGTGAATACACAAGAATGGCTAGAGCACCAACAATTGAAAGAAGAGCTGAAAAACATACTTGTGGAAGTCCCAGACACCTCTTCCAAAAAATTAGACTTGATTAACAAAATTCAACGTTTAGGAGTCCATTATCAATTTGAAAAGGAGATTGAAGCTTCACTGGAACACATATTCGAGGCATACGATGAATTCAATGCGGAGGACGATGAGAGGGACATTTATATTGTCTCTTTGTGCTTTCGACTATTTAGACAAGAAGGGTATCACGTATCTGCTAGTAAGTGTACATTAAAATATTACTCCATTTAGTCCAGGGTTGTACAGACCAAAACTGAAAAAGAAAAAAAATAGGGAAAAAGGGTCAAATAAGCCACTAAACATTATACAAGGAGGCAATTAGGCCCCTGAACTTTTAAAAGTGGCAATTAAACACATCAACTTTTGATTTTGGTACAATTAGACCCAAAAATTGAATATTTACCTGTAATTGCAAGTAACCTCTTATGTGGCATCATTTAAGTTTGCCACGTATGCAAATTTTAAAAAATAAAATAAAAAAGCATTTATTAAAATTAAATATCAAAATCAAAATAAATAATAATAATAATAATAATAATAATAATAATAATAATAATAATAATAATAATAATTAAATAAATAAATATTTCCTGTAACGACTTGCCCGTGCCGTTCGTCGCCGCCGTCCGACCGTCCGGCAGCCAGAGAAGAAGATGGCGCCATGGCCATGGCTGCCTTCAACCTCTTCACTCTCTCCTTTTTTTTTTTTTTTTAACCCATCTTCGTCTCCAAATTTGGAGACGAAGAAGGAGAGAAGAACAAGGCAGCCATGGCCACCATGGCTGCTTTCAACTGTTTTTTTTTTTTTTTTTTTTTTTTTTTGAATCTTTCCCTTCATCTGGAGACGAAGAAAGGGAAAGAGGACCCTTCTTCATCTCCAGATTTGGAGACGAAGAAAGAACATAGAATAAGGCCATCGGCCATGGCTGCCTTCAAGCTTCAACCTCTCTCACTTTTTTTTTTTTTTTTTTTTTTTTTTTTTAATAACAATCGTTTCCTTCTTCATCTCCAGGTCTGAAGGCGAAGAAAGGAAAGATGACCCTTCTTCGTCTCCAGATTTGGAGACGAAGGAGGAGGAAGGCAGCCATGGCAGCGGGCCATGACTGCCTTTTACGGGTAAGTGTTTTTTTTTTAAAATTTTATTAATAAAAATGACACCTATGATGCCACATAAGAGGTTACCTGCAATTACAGGTAAATATCCAGTTTTTGGGTCTAATTGCACAAAAATCAAAAGTTGATGTGTTTAATTGCTACTTTTAAAAGTTCAAGGGTCTAATTGCCTCCTTGTATAATGTTCAGGGACTTATTTGACCCTTTTCCCAAAAAAAATATTATTTTTGGTTAAATTTTATTTAAAAAAAAAACACACATTAGCAAAGTAAATGGCAATCTCTCTCTCTCTCTCTCTCTCTCTCTATATATATATATATATATATATATATATATATATATATATATATATATATATAGAGAGAGAGAGAGAGAGAGAGAGAGAAAGAGAGAGAGAGTCGAGTTTAGGTGCGGCGACCCTTTCCCGTGCGGTCGTGCGGCAGTTTTCAGAATACACCAATAGTTAAGCAAGATATACACCATCAACGTCAGGAAATGCACCATAAAAAATACACACAAATTAGGTATGCATCACCAACAACACACCATTAGGTATAACTAAAGGCATCGCACAGTATTCGGAAATACACCATTAGTGGAAGGGAGGAATATGGTGTTTTTTTTTGGGTGTGTTGTATACTTTTTGGTGTATTTTTGCATTTCATTGTTGTGTGTTTCTCTTACACTATTGGTGCATATATATTGTTAACACTATTGGTGTATTCTGAAAAGCGTCGCACGACCTCACGGGAGGACCTCGCCGCATTTGAACTCTTTCCAATATATATATATATATATATATATATATATATATATATATATATATATATATATATATATATATATATATATATATATATATATATATATATATATATATATATATATAGAAGGGATCAGGTACGGGTGGTGCTTCCTGTGCGGTTGGACTCGCATTAAGCATTACACTGGCGCACTTTAAGTACACAACAGACGCACATTAAACACACAAACAAAATACATTCAGAACACAAACTCACGCACCTTAAGCACAAAACTCACGCATCTTAAGCACAACCCTCACACTCACGCACATTAAGTACGAAACTTACGCACCTTAAGTACACGACTTACGCACCTTGAGCACAAAACTCACGCACATTAATCACAAAACTCATGCACTTTAAAGTTTCAACAACAACTCACATTAAGCACACAACTCACGCACCTTAGGCATAACTCAAAGTACAAAATTCACGCACATTAAGCACTACACACTCACGCACATTAAGCACAAACCTCACACACCTTAAGCACAAAACTGACGCACATTAAGTACAAAACTCACGCACATTAATCACTCGCACAACCGCACAGGAACTTAAACATATATATATATATATATATATATATATATATATATATATATATATATATATATATATATATATATATATATGGTTGAGTTCAAATGAGGACAACAATATATAGAGGACTGTTAGGACAAATAATGGGCACACAACAAATTAATACCAGGCACTCAACTTAATACATAATGACACACAAGAATAAACGTAAACATCAAGTTTCGAACCCAGGCTCTAAAAATTAACAAATCTAGCACGCGACATACAAACTGTGGCACACGACTACATTCGGCCATGCACACGACGTACTGACTAATGGCACACACTACATCTATCCTCACAGTCCTCTATAATATACTTGTCCTAATTTGAATACACACACACACACACACACACACACACACACACACACACACACACACACACACACACACACACACACATATATATATATATATATATATATATATATATATATATATATATATATATATATATATATATATTACTTCTATTTCTAGTAAAAAAAGGTTCTTATCACACCATTTTATTGAGTTCATGGCAATGTTGAAAAAGACTCTAGGCGTCCCCTAGGCACCTGATTTTTTTTTTTAATTTTTTAATTTTTTTTAAAAAAAATTTAGGAGGTTATTCGCAAAAAAAAAAAAAAAAAAAAAAAGGAAAAAAAAAGGGTGGGGAGTGGGGGGGGGGGGGGGGGATTCGACCGCCTAGGCGGCCCTGCCACGGAAGAGGTCGATTTCGACGTTTTTCGACACAACCGAGCGCTGCCTAGGCACGATTTTTGTAACACTGGTCCATGGTATATTTAAAGGTTTTCTAAAGCTCAAAGATGCAACCGAACTTTTCTAAGTAATTTGAGGTTTATTTGATCATTTTCTCATATTATCAGTTAAACCAATTACTCTCATTTTATTCACTTATTTTCTTTTAATGGTTTTCTTTTTTTTGGTGTACTCAATAAATTTTTTGATGTAGATTCTAAAGATGCAAATTTTATACGCTAAAGATAACTAAGTATTAAAAAAATAAATTATAAATAAATAGAGTTAAACCAAGTTAACTAAACTATATACATAAAATGAAAAGGAAAAAGTACTAAGGAATTAATTATGTGAACTGATTAAATAAACAAGAGAGATTTTAAGTTTTAATTAAATTTTTTGACTCATTATCAAAATTTCAACAGATGTGTTTGAAAAATTTATGGATTGTAATGGAAAGTTCAAGGAATCATTGATCAACAATGTTCCAGCACTGTTGAGCTTGTACGAAGCATCACATCTTAGGGTGCATGGGGAGCAAGTTTTAGAAGAAGCATTGACATTTACCACTTCTCACCTAGAATCCATACTTCCAAACTTGAACAATACTCTTAGATCACAAGTTAGTGAAGCACTAAAGCAGCCGATTCGAAAGAGATTAATAAGGCTTGACGCACAAAAAATCATATCAACTTTTGAGCCAAATGGAACAACAGATGCTTTATTGCTGAAATTTGCAAAATTGGACTTCAACTTGTTACAAAAAGAACATCAAAGGGAGCTTGGTTGTCTTACCAGGTAAAGCTTTAATTTTGAGCTATATGAATGTGCTACTTTTTGCTAAAATATGTACTCCCTTAATCTTTCCCATTTAATTTGCTATATTCTTTTCCTAATAATTAACTTAATTATGAATTTTTTTTAACGATATTAAAAAAACAAAATCAAGGGTATACATTATCTCATATGATCTTTGTCACAAATATTATGGTAAATAGTTGTTAGCTGTTAGCTTATTGGGTTAGTGAATTTGAGTAGTTGATAGCATTAGCTGATTGTAGAAAGATGTTTGGTAAATTAGTTGTTAGCTGATAGTTAATTACATTAAAATGACTTTCTCAAAAAGTTGATCGAAAAAATTGCTTTGAACAGCTTTTTAAAATTTTAGCATTTTGAAACAATAAGTTATTACAAAAAACTTATTAATCAAATACTTATATTAATGTTTAACCAAGTCAAACTACTAATAGTGGTAAAATAAGTCAAAATTGACTGATAAGTTCACTATGTTAGCAAATAGCGCCATAATTTTGTGATGTTTAATTAATATGTATGTAATTTCAAATGTGTCAATGACATATGAAATGGGGGAAGATAATTCTTTTCACCAACTAACAATTTCTATATTCATTGTAATCTAGGTGGTGGAAAGGATTAGATGTCCCAAATAAATTGTCTTTTGCACGAGATAGATTTGTGGAAGGCTATTTTTGGATATTGGGAGTATATTTTGAACCAAAATATTCTCTTGCAAGGAAGTTTCTTCTAAAAGTTCTTAGTATGACTTCAATTATTGATGATATTTACGATGTTTATGGAACTTTTGATGAGCTCAAGCTTTTCAATGATGCAGTCCAAAGGTCCAAATTAATTTATATTATCATTCCTGATTAATTGAAGTTTTGGTTTCCCATATATATATATATATATATATATATATATATATATATATATATATATATAAATTAATAATAGCTGAAAGACTACTGTTCAATTCATTTAAAAATAAATAAATAAATAACTTTTGCAATGCAGATGGGATGCTAGTGCTTTAATTGAATTACCAGAATATATGAGGCATCCCTATATCTACCTTCTTGATGTTTATGCTGAAATGGAGAAAGAATTATCTGATAATGGACAATCATACCGTGTCAATTATGCCAAAGCGGAGGTACTAATAAATGTTTATCCAATATAGGTGCACTTTGCATACCTTTTTTTTTCTTTTCTTTTTTAACCAAAACAACTATTATGAAAAAAAAAAAAAACAAAAAACAAAAAACAAAATTATTTCCATACGATTTTAGATGAAAAAATTAGTGGGAGCATTTCTTGAAGAAGCCAAGTGGTACCTTGATGGTTGCAATCCAACATTTGAGGAATACATGAAACTTGCAACCGAAACGTGTGGTTATCAAATGTTGGCGACAGCATCTTTAGTAGGCATGCAAGAAGATTTTGTAACTAAAGATGTGTTCGATTGGGTGGATAATGAAGCTTCAATTGTTCGATCGGCTTCGATTATATGCAGATTGATGGATGATATTGCTGGACATGAGGTAATAATAGCATGACCCATATCCAGTACTCCTATTGTTATAATTTGACTTATTATATGATGAATTTTTTATTTCCTTCCATTGAAAATAGTTACAACTTCATACTAATTTAAAGATGCTCGATTGGTTTTAATTTTAATCTTTAACGACAATATATTCTTTATCAATATATTTTATTTATTATGCCTTATCAAAAATTTACTAATATAATACTGGTTTTTTGTACTATTTGTATAGTTTGAACACCAAAGAGGACACTTAGATTCGTCTGTGGAAATCTATATGAAAGAATATGGAAAATCAAAAGAAGAGACCACTCTCGAGCTCTTAGAACGAGTCACCAATGCATGGAAAGACATTAATCAACAATGTCTTAAACCGACCATTTTTCCTATGCCTATACTTATCCGAATTCTCAATTTCTCAAGAGTTATAGATTTGCTATACAATGATGGAGATTCATATACACATTCCAAAACCAAGTTGAAGGACTTTATTACCTCCACATTGATTAATCCGATCCTGTGAATTTGAAAACGGATATGAATAAGTTTATATTATGATCTTCATCAGTTGTGTGACGGTGTTGCTTAAAATGTTTTATGTTTTATGTTCTAATTTGAATAAAGAGTGATGTCTAGTATTTGTTTAATTTTCATGTTTTTGTTGTATGTTGCGATTCAAAATAAAGAGTTACTCTTAGCTTGTAATCTTTCTTATTTGCTTTGTTTTCTGTTTTACGCTTTAATTAATTTTTTTGAATGTACGCTTTAATTAATTTGGTTTGGAATAAACTAGAATGGAATAGATAAGGTCTTCGTAGTTGCTTTCTTTTCGTAATAACAATCCATGTATCAATCCATATGCCAATAATATATTTGATACACTAACATAAAGTTTCATCCCGCACCATAACAATAGTGTCAACTCACGGCAAGTGGACGTTCTCGGATCGATGACATGAAGACCTTCAAAGCTTAAAGAATTAAAAGTGAACCTTAGACATTTTAGAGCAAGAAGAGTTGGAGCGTACGTAAGGTCGAGGTGTTTAGCATGGTGGTAGTTCTACCTACCTTCGAAGAGACAAAAATGTGGCAAGTTAGAAGTGGTGAATGTTGAAGTAATGAAGACTAAGATGAATAGAAAGGAAAAACCTAGACCAATTGAGATGCATGAAGATGAAAAGAAACGTCATAAGTAAGTCGTCTGATCCTATGAAGTGTGAGGAGATTAAGAAAGAACAAGCATTCAATATAAACTCTTAACTACTATCATCTCCCGATGTGCAATAACTAAGAATTAATTCCCTAACATATATGCCATCTCCCAAGGTGCAACAGTTAAGTGCAATTGTATGTGGGTGTTCTCAATTATACCCTAACACCCATTAAGACATAAAGATAGCTATGAAACGAGTAACTATGACCATTAATTACAAGTTATAAAACTCAAATATCAATATATTAAAGAAGATGAGAATTAGGCACAAAGGTTCATAAACACTACTTTTACCCAAGAATTTCTAAGAAAACTTAGGCACACATGACTAGGGGTGTTAGCGAACAGAGCTTTCGGCAAATTACTCGTGTTCGTGTTCGGTAAGCGTTCGTTTATGTTCGTTTGTTAAGGTAAACGAACCATTAACAAACAAAAATTAGAGCTCGGTTAATAAACGAACAGAGCTTGAACAGTTGTATGCTCGTTTGCTAAGAGATCGTGAACGAGCTCGTTTGTGTTCGTTTAATAATGTTCGTGAACAAGCTCGTTTGTGTTCGTGAACAAGCTCGTTTAGTGTTCGTTTAATAATGTTCGCGAACATGAACGCAGATTATTTATTGTTCACAAACGAATTGTGATCATGAACATGTGCATGGCGTTTGGTTATTAAAGGTTCACGAACGTGTTCATGAACGGAAACCAACATGTTCGTGAACGTGTTTGTTAACAAACATGTTTATTAACGTTAACGAACACGTTCGTGAACGTGTTCGCGAACGTTGACAAACACGTTCGTGAACGTGTTCGTTAACGTAAACGAACACGTTCGTGAACGTGTTCGCGAACGTTAACAAACATTAATGAACGCTTAACAAACGAACACGAACATGATTTTCAAAAACCTTAACAAACGAACGCGAACACGAACACCCCAAAATTCTTAACAAACGAACACGAACAACCTTCGTTCGTTTATGTTCGGTTCGTTAACAGCCCTACACATGACTAATATAGAACTAATTGCAATAATATAGAGAGTTTACAAGTAGCTCTTAATTTTCCTCTTTCTTGTTTCCAAAACACAGCTTAGGTCCTTAGGGTTGAGGGAAGACGGGCTTTTTATAGCGGTAGCTCAATAGGAAAATTTCGCACAACATTCCAAATTCCCGTCCAGAAATCTCAACGCGTCGCGTCTTCACCGCCCCAAATGCCGAAACTTACTGTAACTTCTCGACGCGTTGAGTCTTCGGTGCTGATTCACTGAGAGCTACTAGAATTTCTCGACGTGTCGAGTCTGCTGGACTTCGACGGCTCGGCTTCTAGAAAGAACGCGTCGAAAACTCTATTTCATCATTCTTTGGTCAATGTTGACTCCAAATTAAAATTGTCCTAGAACTTTCCCTTGCTTTTGCACTTGATCTATAATGATTTCAAAACACTAACAAACACAGTAAAACATTCAAAACAAGTATAAATCCATCTCTTAATGAGAAAACAACGGAATATGCACTGAAAGTATCACTTGAATGAACTTAAGCCCACAAATATGTTCAAACTAACACGAGAAACATGTACAATTAAGCTCATATAAAGGTAAAAATAAGGCACTCAACTATTTGAGAAATAACAATTAAACCACCCAATTCGAATAAGTTCCAAATAAATCTACGAACCCGGAAAATGTTGCAATTAGCATTTTTAGTAGGTATCTTGCCGGTTTATGCTTACTAGGATGACCACATGGAATTTTTATTTCATTTCTTAATTTCCACCTGGATTTGCTCTTCTTGGCCGGAGTTCTTGGTGTTTGATCCTCAGGCACCTTGAGACAGTGGTGGCAAGAACATCGATCACCATCTTGAGCTCTTTTCTTCTTGGAGCTCCTCGATAAGCACTACTCCCCCTCTTCACCATCAAGAACATACTCTCCCTCCAAGTCTTCACCGACTACTTCGGATCTAGAAAGCTCCACCACCAGATGAACCATGGCACCACTCTCACCGCCACCACCTCCCAAGCTAGGCTCCCGAGAAGTACCAATCCCCTGCGGTGGAAGCTCCGATTGTTGGACCCTGAAGCTACGATTGTAGTTCAAGGCATATCAGCGAGTTAAATACGTGACAAAGGTTGTTGATGCATATTGTTACCAGCAGCTCCCGCACAAAAGATTCTCATTATATTTCAGCGTCAACCTTGTTAGTGATAACGTTAATTGTTGATGCATACTGTTAACAGCTCTTGATAAATCCAAGGTTGCCACCAGGGACGGAGCCAGAAAAATACTTGAGCGGGGGCGAAGTTTAAATGACGGTTAGAAATATCAATTACGAAATATCAAACAGTCATAAATAATAAGGTTAAAATATAAAATATATTATAAATTACAATAGAATATTTTTGATAGATTAAACGATAGTTAGAGTTGGAGCAAAAAATACACTTGAATGAGGTGAAAATGTAAAAATATTTATGACAAAATATGAAACATAATCAATTAGATAAAATAATGTGAATAAAATGAAGTATAATATAAACTTGTATACTACATTAATTAAATGATTAATAAAATATAGACTAAAAGAGCATTTAATTTGTTAATTAAATGATTCATAAAAGTAGGCTAAAAAATATTTATCTTGGGAAGAAATGAAAGATATAAAATAAATAAGTGGAGACAAGGAAAAATATTTTTAATGAGATTCGAACCTATGACCATACACTTTTTAAAAAATAAAATTTGAAGTTCAACCAACTAAGCTACTTTAACCATTAATAAGTTAAATATAAATATAAATATAAATTTTATATAACATTTAATGCTATATATGTCGATATATACATACATATATATATAAAGGGGTGGGGTGGGGGGAGTGGGGGCAGCTGCCCCACACTGCCTCCGTCCCTAGTTGCCACTTGCCACGCAAGATTGGTCGCCGGCGATCATGGAGTTTTTGCGTATTAAGGATGGTTTGTGATGAATTTAATTAATCCGGGGTGGCCCGAATTATTAAACTCGGATAAGAATGTAGATATAAGATAAATAATAAATGGACAAAATGATGTCGTAAAGGCCGTGAAGACCGTATATCGTATTTAAATGCCGTGAATAGGCTATTACAATGTTCGCTTTAGTACAAAGTATGTAGGAAAATGATAAGATGTCCTAAAGAGACAAGGTGGGGGGTTTTTATACAACCCCCACCTCTAACCGCCACGCCCTAAGGTGGGGGTGGTTAGATCCGCGTTGACCGCGTCCAGAGTTGACGGATTCCCGGGTCAGCCCTTTTTATGTCCGATCTCGTCTATGGCCGACTCCCTCTAAGGTCGAACACATTTATGGTCGATCCCTTTGGGGTCGGCACCTGCACTAGGCCGAGGCCTACTAGGTCGAGGTCCCATGGACTGAGGCCTATTGGGCCAGGGCCCCCGGGTCTTGCTCCACCTTTACAGGTTGATTTGCTCCGGTCATAATATATTCATCAGTTTGCTACAGACTATGTTTACGGGTGGCATAATTTAAATGCTAGAAAGTGAGATTTCCATGAATGATCCACGGGGAAATTCGTGAATGTTGCATCGTTAAGAATGTTTGCTGCAAACTGTGTTTTTAAGGAATACTCCAAGAAGCTAAGAAGCAAATTCGAGTGAAAAAAAAAAAAACTTTATAAAAATAAAATTACACGTGGCATTCCTAGTAAGCATAAACCGACAATTTACCTGCTAAAAATGCTAACTGCAACATTTTTCCAGGTTCATAGATTTATTTGAAGCTTATTCGAATTGGATAGCTTAATTGTCGTTTCCCAAATAGTTGAGTGATTTACTTTTACCTTTTCCCTTAATTTTACTAAACACTTCAATTTCAATTAGTTAACTTATTATCTATCGGCATTTTAACTTTCAACTAGCTTTTTTAGCTAGGCGTGCCAAACGGAGCCTATTTGTTTAAATTTATTTACATTTAGATTTAGTCCTCTTATGAAAATACTAATCCCCCAGTCCATCCATTTTATTTGTCATATTTACTATTCATTGAACAAGTAAATTTTTGTGGTCAATGTCGTCATAAGAAATGGTCTAGGGTTTCTTTAATTTCTTGTAGCGTTTTCTAGGTTTGATGGTTGACAAGTTGCTCTACTGCTATAGTGCTATATATATATATATATATATATATATATATATATATACCAAACTTAATTAATGACAACAATGCTTTTATTCATATAATATATAGAATTAGTTTCTGGTGCGGTTGGCAGTTTCAGGTGTGATTGTGGGGTTAAATTTGAGCTATTAATCTTTCTTAAATCAAGGTTTAGGATTACAAAAATTTAAATAAAAAAAATGCGGTGGCAGTTTAGTAATTTTTGCATCTAAGTCAAATTTAAGATGCGTGAGTTTTGTGATTAAGGTGCGTGAAATTTGTGCTTAAGGTGCATGTGCTTTGTGTTTAATGTGCTTGGGTTTGTGCTTAAGGTGCGTGTGCTTTGTGCTTAATGTAAA